ATATTAATTATTTTTTATTTTTTTTTTTTTTTTTTTTTTTATATAGCAATCCATATATGTGTGCAACTGCATAGGAAATGCATGGTATATAATATTTAGATATATCTATATCGTAAGCACGTAACTAACGACTATAAATTAATATGAGCACCATCATTAGTTAATGTCAGACGCGCGTCTCTACGGTTCCTATTCGCGATTATCTGCGATTTTTAACAAACGGCCTAATTGTTTTATTTTCAATCGACAATTTCTTGAAGCATCTCGTTTCATACCATCGCCACCATCTCCGACTCGATCCCCTCCTCTCTCACCTCTTCCCATCCCATCCCTCCCAATCCCCACCACATAACCTCCCTCCCCCTCTCTCCATATCCCCATCACCAGTTCGGCTTTAATTTACATTTTGTTTTTCGCGAGCGAACGCATTCAGAGAAGGATAAGGCATGCATATAAGTAAAACCATGTTTCCCACAGACTCCATTCGTCAGACAGAACACTCCTCATCCGAAAGAGCTGAAAGCAAAAGCTCACAAGCTCTTTAGCAAAGGAAAGAACGACAGTCGTTCTGGCTCCGCGGACGAACAGGTCAGTATGGCAATATTAGCTGTTGGATATATCGGCAATGTCGTATGGTTCAATAACGAACGTAGAAAAAGAAAAACACGCTGTGTATCGCGTGCGCGTGCGCGCGAGCTCATTAAACGGTTGCTGTTACGCAGGACGTCTCGCAAACGTTCGGCTTGGACAAGGTCGAGGCCGACGCCTTCATGCACGAGGATTTCAATCGCTCCTTCGTTCAGCGGGAGGCCCAGGCTGCAGGCGTCTGCGAGCTGCCGAGGGCGGCCCCGAGTCCCGTTCAAAAGGAGTCGGCCAACGGCGGGGCGCACGCCGCCGTCACTAAGCCAGAGGCCATCGGTGTAAGTGTCATTAATAGCAATTTTCTTTCAGGGCGCTTCCTTGGCTATGTACTAAAATTTCCAACGTGTAACACTCATTATATTGACGCCACCCAATAAATGACGGACGCTGTTGACTTACTCTAAGGCGAAAGCTCGCGCGGACCGAGGCTGGCTTCATTATCATCGTCCTTTATGTCCTATGTCGCTCTCGCTTTTGCCACCAAATTTATTATTTGGTCGAGAAAACTTTCGCGACTTACTTCGTGACTTTCATTATTTAGCATTGGGGAGGCAATTTTCCCCGGAGAATACGCTCGCGTCTCGCGTCTCGCGTCCTTTTCGGAACGTCCTTAGAGCACCATTGCTCCTTTTATTTATCCGCCGTCTTGCGGTGATAAATGAAGAAAATTTTCGAAAATATTCTTGCGAAGTTTAGTGAGAGGAAACTTTGGCAATTTCTTATTAATCCTTTATTCTTTCACGAAAATAGCTATTAAAGTGTTTAATATCGTTGGACGAGAGACGGGATAATAGAATTTGAAAGTTATGTATGTGCGAACAATTATAAGCCATCTATTTGTTTACGCATTTTTCCATTTTGGTTTAAACATTAATTTACATTCACTTAGAAGTTCATTTAAATAAAAACATTATCATTCAAGGCTAGTGTAGTCGATTTGCCGTAATGATTATTTCCGTGCGTATACGTGTGTAAAACATTTTTTGCCGAGTAATATTAGCCAAATCGTGATATCTGAAATCAATAATGCAAAAAACTCTTTGAAATAAATCTCATTAGTCGAAGCTTTTTTTCCTAATATTTTAAATATATTTTAGAAATGTCACGCTAATACGGTTATCGTAATTTTAATAATGCAAATAATTCCGAGAAATTAATTATACAATTTTGCGACACATTTGTAGATTAATTGATTTATCGAAAATATAACTATTTGTTTTGAAATATCTAGTGACGTAATCCATATGACTACTTTTTTCTTCTATTCTCTCAATCTTTTATGTTTACTTGTCCGAAGGATTTGCTTTCCTATAGCTACATCGTGAAAATTATTGCCTACTTACATTATACCCTCTCGTTTGAAGTATAAAATAATTATAACAAAATAACAAAAAATAATAATAATAATTCGGAACTCGAGCCTAATACGTTCGTAATTGCTGATGTACCGTGCAATTGTAATAAGTAGTAGCAATAAAGAAAGAAAATGTCCGATTAATGAAGGAGCGACAACGTTAGAGTAAGGAAACGCGTCCATGTTTAATCTGCTTTTGATGCATTTACAATAAGCTTATTTTCATACATCGTAATTAGCAAAAACTTGACGAAAGAAAGTAAAAATTGTATGGCGAAAAAAGGGTCGCAACTACTGAATATTGAAGTGTTAGTCGTAAAAGACGAAGATGTGCATACGAGGCGCGTTGTGAGCGAGGGATCCTGTTTGCAGGACGCGGAGATGGAAGAATCGGTAACGCGGTCGAGGGTTGGGTGTAATGATGATGACAATGACGATCATGATGATGTCGATGGCGTGGAGTCGGAGAGCGAGGAAATGCAAAGGCATGTCGATTTTGCTATAACCGAAGATGCCGATTACGGTGGTGCGGGTGAATCCGGGAAGCCAAACAGGCTTCATCGCCGGGACACCCCGCACCACCTGAAAAACAAGCGTATTCACAGCTCAATCGACAAGGACGAAGTTGCTTCCATCATTGCTCAGGTTAGCCTCCTTCTCCTCCTCATCCTCCTCCTCCTCCTCCTCCTCCTTCTCTTCGTCACGATGGGCTCTCGACTTATTTATCTGCTGCAATTTATTATAACGCCAAGCAATGAAAAAATTTGAAATAAATTCGACTTGAGCTCGACACTTATTTCTATATGTGCATTCTCATTATAAGATTGTTAACACTCTCATTACAACTATCGCTCTTTATATTGAATTTAATTGTTCGTTTAATTGTTTAATTGTTTAATTGGGTTAAGAATACCGCTCGGACCATATATGTTTTGTTGTTTTTGTTTTTCGCTGTCTTTGTACAATTTCGTGACAAGACAATTTCCGTTTATATTTCAGCTTAACTCGCATTTATAATGTAAATAACAATTTAACTTTTAACATTACAATAATAATTAATATTAATCGTTCACGTTCTTCATATTAATTAAAAATTTTAATAAATTACAATGCTGAAATATTAAAATACAATAATGTTGAACATTAAATAACAATCTTTTCGTGGAATATAATTTTTAATTTAATTATGTAATTATAATGTATATATATATATATATATATATATATATATAATTAGAGGGTATTCTTTATCCAATATGCGTGTGTTAACATATTTCGTATTAATTCCACAATTCAATGTTTACTATAAACTAAGCACTGTAAGTATTTTACGATTTACTCTTATTTGTTTGAAAAAGCACCACTTAACCATATAAAGAAATTTATGTAGAGCTCAATATTAATTTTACATCCATCTGCACACATGTGCATACATACATGCATGCGCACAAAGGCGCGCGCGGGCGCCCGCACACACTCACACACGATAGTAATACGTACATACATAAATATAAAAATATGTATAACTGTTTATGTATATGTACGTACGTATATATGTATGTATTTGATTGTTTCTTACAAACGTTGATCAACTTCATTCTTATTTATTTAACATAATATGCATATATATATATATATATATATATATATATATATATATATATTTATATGTGCTTTTTTTTTATTACATTGTACACTAAGAAAAAATTTCTCTGAATTCTCTGTGCTCTTTGTCGTATAACAATTGTGCTTGATAAATTTGACAGATTCAGGAGACACGCGGTTTAATAAAATAAAAATGAAATGATGCTGAAAGATGGCAGATACAACAATGCAATGTGTATTCCTTTATCATTTAAAGTGAAGAAAGTCGCAATGATTTAAGCGTCCTGAATCTGCTCAAATAAACGAAGAAGATACTTATTTATACGATACTAAGTAACGCGCGAGTGCGTGGGTAATTTGAAAAATGGATTAGTCTAATTTCAGATAAATTTTTTGCCCTTAGAGTTACCACTTACATTGCATTTAGTATTTTTTTTGTCGCACGACCTTTTAATTTTCTGTAGTTACAAACATTTGTTTTCTATGCCAATATGACTCTTGTAAATGCTACTTCTGGATTTTGCAAGGCAGGTTTTTGCCTGTAGCATGGCCGATTTTCCCGCTAAATTATACGTATCTTGTATGTACACATGCGCACGCACGCACGAACACACACAGACACACGCGCACACACACAGACACACGCACACACACACACACGCACACACATATATATATATATATATATATATATATATATATATATACATATGTGTGCGTGCGCGCGCGCGTGTGTCGGTGTGTGTGTGTCTGACTGACTGACTGCTGCTTCTTTATGTATAACGAGAAAGATACATCTTTTACCAAAACTTTACTGTATTTTATTTTCCTTTCCGTAAGTGCGCGCGTGTGTGAATTAACTCGTTACTCTATTTTTTTTCCTCCTCTTCTTCTTCTTCTTCTTGTACCATCCACTCTACAATGATGCTGCTGGCAGCCTTGTGTTTTATATACTTTAGGTAGCTCGACTTTACTTTTTACTGTACAATCTAGTTGTTTCTTACTGTACGTATGTCGAAGGCTTAATTATTTGACTTGTTTGGAAAATGACATTAACAAGAGTCCGCGATTGTGCGTCGGCTCAGTTTCAATAGCTGCATTATTAATATCGTTTACATCTTCTTTTTTTGATATGCGTCGATGAGGCGCGGCCTGTCAAAGGGCTCGGGGCCGTTGGTCCGTTGGGCTTTGGCAGTCGATTAGAAAGGTCTTGAATTTTCACAGGCATTGATGAAAAAGACGGATGAAGCGCCAACGCCGACAACGATTGTTACGACACCCGGAGCTACCACCACCTACAAGACGTACACCGGCGAGTCCAACGAGAACGTCGACGGCCACAGTCAAGGTATGCACGCCCAACTTACTCATCCTCGGAGAGATGCGAGGCATATCAAATGGATAAATGGATTCCTAGCACCGACTTGCTCTGCTTTAATTAATATTGTAATATTGGAAATAATGATAAATTCCTCTTCCCCGCGTATGCTCTCTACTGTCTTCTGCTGTCTTCTGCTGCAATACGTGTCGTCAGTCGTAAAGTCTTAAATAAGCTTTCAAGCGCTTGATCGCGACGTGTACATTATATTACGCAATTTTCTAAGATTATTATTTTACGTTGTGTGTCTAAGAAAATTATGACATTGTTTGATAATGATAATAGGAATTGGGTCTTGTATTTAAGTCAAATGCTCTTCCTAGTAGGAGAGCACTCGATACAAAAACATGTTTAGCATCATGTTTTTTTTTTTTTAATATTAAGAATTCCACCTTAGTTGGCTCGTTTGGTTTCTTTCGTTGTTTTGTTTTTCACAATTATAGACGCGTATAAAGTGAGACGCGCGGCTCACACTTTTCTTTTACACTAATATTTACTTACGTATCTTCGTGCGATTCGACACGAGCAACTTCGGTAGTTTGGCGGGGGCGGGAAAAGAGTAGGTGAGAGAGAGAGAGAGGGAGAGAGAGAGAGAGAGAGAGATATATATATATATATATATATAGGTCGATGGATAGACAATTGGATGGACAGATACACAGATAAATGAATAGAGAGTGGGGAACGCGTCGAGATAGATAGGCGATAAGATAACGCGATATCGCTTCGCGCTTTCGCTTCTACTCGTCTCCCGTCGCGAGCCTCGCCGTTAGTCGTTTGCGAGTTCCCATAGGCATTAGGCTTAATTGGCTCCCGATAACGTGTCTCGAAGTAGCATTATAAAGAAATGTGAAAATGCCAAAAGTTTATAAACTATACGTCAGGCAGAGTGTAAAGCGGAGGCCGAAAATTCGACGGCCCATCACGCGCTACGGTGCGTTTCCTTTTAATAACGGCAGCGAACAATATAATGTTCGTTCCGCGTGACGAAGTGAAAATGATAATTGTTTATCGTCGACGATGATGTTGCAGGTGCGTTATCGGACACGGAGCCGTCGATAGAGATCCGTGAGGAAGAGTACGAGATTCAAATCGAGCGTACGACCGGAGGACTGGGATTGTCCATCGCTGGTGGAATAGGTTCCACGCCCTTCAAAGGCGATGACGAAGGCATTTTTATCTCGAGAGTAACGGAAGGTTAGTGGACTCGTTTCTTTCTAAATGCTAATGACGGCCAATGGCTGCTCCTCTCGATCTACGTTTATTTCCTCCACCTTCTTATTTTCTTGCCTTTTTCTTTCCTTCCAATTGTCGAGGAACATGTGTCTTTCTTTGGCAATCGTAAGGCAAAAGATAAGCGCGTGAATAAAATTTAATTATAGATTATTATAGAGTATGTTAAGGCGAATGACCTTTAAAGTATATGGCAATGGTAAATTGGTACTGTTTTCAATTTGCATCGTAATACAATAACCATTCGCTTCGACTGGCAATAAATGGCAGCAATGCGATACGTAATTTTATCCGGGGCCAGCTTTTATCACTAAAGATTGTTTTTTCTTTCTTTCTTTCTTTCTCTCATTCTTTCATTGTTTTATTTATTTTTCTTATTTATTATATTCTCTTAGTGCTATTATTATTATTATTATTATTATTATTATTATTATTATTATTATTGTCGTTGTCGTTGTTGTTGTTGTTATTGTTATTGTTATTGTTATTATCAACGTGTTTAAAGTCTTGGCTTAATATTTAATCATGGGCTGGAAAAATTTCGTCACTTTTAATTAAATTATCTTCTTAATAGGTGGGCCCGCTGATTTAGCGGGTTTGAGGGTTGGCGACAAGGTACTATCCGTCAACGGCATATCCGTCATTAACGTAGACCATTACGATGCCGTTGAGGTTTTAAAAGCCTGCGGTCGTGTTCTCGTTTTGGTCATTATCAGAGAAGTTACGAGAATAATGCCACCATCGGAACAGGTATAGCATTGCTTAGTCTCCGTGTTCTTTCTCCTATGAGACTGCAAAACGCACTCGTTTGTTATAAGTGCTTCTTATCGAAATTATATTTACGTTTATTTGTCACTTGTGTTTTCCTTTTTTTTTTTTTTTTTTTTTTTTTTTTTTTTATCCCGCCCCTTTTTCCCCATACCCATCCCAAACCACCCCCACCTTCCCCCTCCAATCAATATAATTGTACGTACCACTATACCTCCTTCAACTCCTTGCGCTCGATGATCCCACCCCCTTAACCTTGTGTATTATTTATAGTACGCTCGATAAATAAATTGATCGTTAAAAGCGCATATTGCCAAGCGCATTCATAAATGCACGATTATATGATTTTAATCGTAAAACCCCTTGATGCGATTGAGAGATTAACGGCAATTAAAATGTTCAGATGTCTGTCAGAAAAGACTCCGTATGTTCGAGTATGAGTACTAGCCGAGCACCGAGTGCGACATCTTACGTATCTTCAACCACGCTTTCCCATAATCTCGAGAACGGCGAAGCCGATGATACGATAAAGGTTGATTCATTAATAATGCTTGTAGCAAAAAAAAATTCGTAGCCCCGGTGTGAGGCTCGTTTTTAATTCTCCTCTGTTTTGTCCAGCGGAAAAATTCCGAAGCCTTGATGAGCTCGGTGAAGCCACAGAGTCCAGATCCATTGGTGCCCGTTCTAGTTCATACGACATTGATTAGAGATCAAAATGGATTAGGTTTCAGCATTGCCGGCGGCAAAGGCTCGCCACCGCACAAGCCCAACAGTGATTCCATATTTATTTCGAGGATAACCGAGGGTGGAGTCGCACAGAGGGATGGAAAATTATGCGTCGGTGATAAGGTCGTATCGGTAAGTCGTCGATTATAGCGAGTAAGTCAGCGCATATTGTATTAGGAATTCTAATTATTGGGTATTGGGATTCGAGAGCGAGACATCGCAATGAGCTCGACAAAAGTCGCTTAAGCAAGGCTAAATAAACAACCAGGACGCTTGGGATTATTGCTCAACGAGCAACCAATCCAATTGTCACTTATCGTTAATAATAATCTAGAGTGCAATTAAGTATGATGAATTATGGTAGGCTTTATTGGCAATTCGAATTTTTGAATTTTACTTTGGAGAATGCCGGTAAAGTATCGTGTTGAGCCTTCGCGCTGCGGGTGAAGGTGGCCTTCAAGGTGCCCACTAACGTTGATCTTTTAGATAAACGGAGTTGAAATGACGGACGCACGACACGAGCAGGCCGTGAGCTTATTAACGGGCCTGGAGAGGTTCGTTCGACTGGTCGTCGAGCGCGAAATACCTCTCTCCCAGGCGAATCCAGCCAATCTCACACCCGCGGAAAAGTCGCCCCTGGTAATCGGCACACCCAAGCCTTACACGGGCCTCTACAGCGCCAACAGCTACATGGCGAACAGACCGGGCTACGCGGGCTATCGGCGCTCCCTCGACGCCGACAAAATTCTCTCGCCGAGTCCCACCTCGAAGACCCCGGCATCGGCGAAGAGCGAGCCCTCGCCGGCGATCAACGGCATCGCCAAAATGAACGGCGTGGACGAGAGGCCGAAGAAGATGGCGAGTCCGCCCGCGACCTCGACACTACCGCAACCGGCCCCAAGGCAGAGCATCAGCCAGCAGTTGCCGGCCCCGAGATTCAACTCCCAGGTAGCCGCGGCTGCCAGCGTCACGAGCACCAGCACCATCACGACAACGCTCGGCCAGGCGCCGACTTGGACGTCCACGTCGACGCCAACGCCAACGCCGACGCCAACGCCGACGCCGACGCCGACGCCGACACCGACACCGACACCGACACCGACACCGACAGCGACACCGACGCCCGGCGACGAGAAGAGTCCGGACTCGCAAGAGGACATTCAGGTACCGAAGCCTATCACCAACGAAGAATTTCAGGCCATGATCCCCGCTCACTTCCTACGACCCCCGACAAACTCCTCGCCCTCACCAGATTCCTCCCAAAAGGGACCCACCGTCACCGTGACGATCAAGCAGCCCGACGCTCTGCCCGGGGACGTTAATTTCCCCCCGGCGCCAAAGACTATTGGTAAAGTTACGGAAACCATCACAAAGAGCACTCTCACGGAGACTGTCGTGACGCGCGTCACCGACAACCAGCTGGTGAGGCCGGTCATAATCGAGGTACGTGCCGCCCCGTTGGTTCTCCGTAACTCATTTACAAGCTTCTTCATTTGTAAATACAATGTTCTGATATGAGGGAGAGGGGCGAACTTTTAAGAGTGCTCCACCTTTTTTTCATTGCCGCTCACGTTATCGCCTCGCCTTATCCTTTGAATCTTGTTGTGCCGTTTATTTATTTATTTTATTTTATTTTATTAACTGGTCGTGCAACGTCGCGACCTTAGTATTTATTCTGCGCTAACTACAAATAAAAAAAGAAAAAAAAACACTGCCGGCCATAATTAATATCATCCCAATAACAATTATCTAACTATTCAAGCAGGATTTCCTATTATTGGAGCGATAATACGATTTTAAAACTTTAAGGATGTTAGTACATTGTTTGGTTCCACTGTATTGTGTGTTTATTTGCATGGCGGTGGGTTGGGGGGGGGGGGGGGAAGGAAAGCAATTTTTAATACACAGTGTTTCTAATTCAATGATTTATGCATAAATCGTGATACATATGATACAATATTGAAAGCTCTATATATATATGTGTGTGTGTGTGCGTATGTATATATATATATATATATATATTTATATATAGAAATCAATCAAAGGAGCACTCTTAAGAAAGAAAGGTTATCATTTCAATTTCAAATAATTTTTTATAACAATTAAATAATTCTCAAGCTTTTTCTATCGCACTCTTTCAAAAGCACCACTGTTTACATATATTACTGTTGTCTTTTTTGTTTTTGGTTTATTATTTTTTTGTTTTTGTTTTTTCTTCTTCTTCTTCTTCTTCTTCTTCTTCTTCTTTGTGTCAAACCGTGAAAGCGAGTTATGGAAGGTAATTTTTTCTTTTATGTTTTCACAATCACTGCAAATATTATCGCTTGTAGCAAATGTAAATATTATTAGAAAGGAATGGGAGATCGTCTTCCTGGTCAATACTGTAGATGCAAATACATAAATTGCTGTATGTATGTGTGTATGTGTTTTTTTTTATCCATTGTCCACGATTACCATTCCCACTCCTCAAAAATTGGCCACAGCTCTGTCAATAAATGCTTAATCGATTTGTTTTATTTCTCAACTCGTGTTATTCATAAGCTCTACGAGTTTCTAATGCAAATTGTAAATGATCGTAATTGAGACTTTCTGCGCCCAAACACTCGCTAATAATGCAAATCTACGTTTAGGATGTCATTCTCGTTAAGGAGGGATCACTTGGCTTTAGTATAATTGGAGGTACCGATCATTCGTGTACGCCTTTTGGAGCAAAGGAGCCGGGAATTTTCATTTCCCACGTAAGGACTTTGTATGAATATGAATTATCGAATTAATGATAATGAATGATGTTTTCCTAATGTGCGATGTAATTGTCGATTTTAGGTCGTTCCCGGTGGTATAGCTGCCAAGTCCGGAAAGTTGCGAATGGGTGATAGAATATTAAAGGTCAATGGGACCGATATAACCAAAGCGACGCATCAAGAGGCTGTGATGGAATTACTGCAACCGGGAGATCAGATAATCTTAACTGTTCAGCATGATCCATTACCAGAAAATTATCAGGTATATTTTAATCGATAAATCGACGATAATAAGTGCATTTCCTTATCGCAGCGTTTTAAAAGCATAAGCTTTATTATCTTCTCCGCTCATCTCGTCTAACAAGCTTAACGTAAGGCTCGTGTGCTTCAACTAACAATATTTAGACAAAATATCATTTAGAGGAATATTATAACAGAATATTTTCATCGTATATTCTTATAAAAATTTTTACAGTATGCATGGCTTTGATAGAGCTAATCGTGTTCTATTATGTGTTGACTAACTTTTTATAAGTTAATAGATTATATGTAAAATTTTTGAAATTTATTAATAATTAGTTTCTTCGAACTTCAGAAGAAAAAAAAAAAGAAAATCAACGTAACAGTACTTATAATAATCATAGATACTTTTATATATTACATAGGACAGTTGGTAGTACAAATTCATTTCTTTTCTAATAAACATAACATTAATAATTTCATCATTTTTTTTTTTTTGTTATTTTTTCCGTTATTTTTTTATTATTATTATTCTTTCATGTTAGTTTTTTGTTTTTCACTTTGATCGATACTGCATTGTATTTAAGCGTATCGTTATCCTAATGCAATTGCATATCATTTAATTCCACAAGCTGGTCGATATAGAGTATATTCCTGTGACAGTAAGTACTCTAAAATGAAGTATGACCTCTATAATAATCCCTATATCAATAAATCTCTACTATTTTTTTATTCATAAAGCTTTCTTAGTCTTAAAATGTTTCACGATTTTTTTTTTTTTTTAGCTTTTTTTTATGACTGTTTATTGTATTATCGCACATTATTGTAAATAGGAGTAGTAGCTTATTTGTTGTTGTTGTTGTTGTTGTTGTTGTTGTTGTTGTTTTTATTTTTCTATATTGTCATTTGTCAATTACATTTTTCGATACATGATAATGCATAGTTGTTTTTATATGTTTGAAGCAATAGATTTGTATCTGTAAAAGAACGTTAATTTTGAAACTGTAAGATTTTTTTGTTAATATTATTCGGGCAGTTTATCATTTGTATTATATTTTTAGGAACTTTTGATAATAAAAGATCCTGGTGAGAAACTAGGCATGCATATCAAGGGTGGACTGAAGGGACAAAGAGGAAATCCGCTTGATCACACCGATGAAGGAGTTTTTATTTCTAAAATCAACTCTGGTGGAGCGGCTAAGAGGGACGGGAGATTAAAAGTAAATACGCCACATGTGTAATCGTAATATCTCGTAGCTCGAATTATCATGAGCGTAGCCTATTTGCTTATTGGGAATATTATAGAATTTGTATAAATGATAGGAGATTTTTAATAACTTGAAACTTATTTCAGGTTGGAATGCGATTGTTGGAAGTTAATGGTACATCGCTTCTCGGTGCAACTCATCAAGAAGCTGTTAACATTTTACGTAGTTCCGGAAATACAATTACACTCGTGGTGTGCAAAGGGTACGACAAAAATGAAATTGACCAAAATTATTTAATTTCGGGTAGAGATTCAAAGGAGTCAAAGACATCCTCTAAAGAATCCAAAGATACTATCACAGTTGAAGATGCCAAATCCTTGTCGCAGAGTGTTTCTAGTCTAGATAGAGACGACGAAGAAGCGGCGACTTTGCGTCAAGAACAAGAAATGAAGGCGGAATTAGTCGCTTGGGAACAAGAAGAACGCGAACGTGCTCTATTGGAATTTAGAGAAAAAACTACGCCCGAAAAGGTATTAATGTCAATTACCTTTAATAATATGTATTTTCTCCCCCCCCCTCCTCCCCCCGTCCCTTTTGTTTTTGTTTTATTTTATTTTTTTATTAATTCGTTATAAGAATAGGCCATAATCAATGTAATTACTTATAATTCAGGTTTTGGATGTTGTAAGGGCAGCGGAATCATTAGTTAATAAGCCTAATAGTCCAGTCGATTCGACGACTCCGATTCCACCAAAATCTCCCGGTGGAACGAAAGATCTGAAAACCACGACTATTGTTATGAGTAAACATACCTTAGCTCCACAAACTCCCCCGGTAAGTTGGAACATTTCAATTATATGTTTAGCTTTAGTGATTAATCGAATCGAGAAGCATGAATCTTCATGCATGACTCACATGACTCTAGAAGACAGTAGTTGGCAACTCAGTGGTTATGATTGTAATATCCAAGTAATTTGGTGTATATTTTTTGTAGAAGTTTGTTATATTTTACTTAAATTTCGATGTAGATTAATGTTTAGTAGTGAATAAATGCGATTCTCTCTTCCTATATTCATTATTTTCTATCGAAGATATGCATATGTCTCTTTATATATATACATATATATATATATATATATATATATTCTTGGCCACTCGGATTTAAAAATTTAAATTTGGATTTATGATATAATTTTATGATTTTCGATAATACTTTTATTTATGGAGTGAGCATATCCATAAGAATAAAAAACTTTCACTTTGAGGTCTTTGGAAATTCTTTTGCTCCCGATAATCCATTTGCTACGCTAAAATTTTCTTCAGTCAATATACTACGCAACTCTCTTAAAAAAGAAAATATATATAACCCAAATAAAACAAATTCACTTTCACCGTAGTTATATTAAAAATTACTGCCTTTAACGATGCTTATAACTACGTGTCGCATAGCAAATGGATTTAACAGCTGTTAAATGTTAAATGTCACTGTACAAAGTAAACAAAATCGCGAGCGACTAATCCCAAGTTTAGCGCCACTTTCTGGCATCTTCACATTCATGACTAATTCCCACTAGGTGTATTATTATATATTTTTATTCGAATTTCTCTATGTGATATAAATATTTATGCGCATGGAACGTCATTGTTATTCTCTCTGTAGTGGACGCATGCCAAATTATGGCTAAGCGAACAAAACATGTTCTCACATATTTTACAGACGATGGAAGGTGATAACGCTACTTTGGCTGCCCTTTAACTGAAGTGATTCACTTGCACTCTTCTCCTCCGTGAGACGATTCGTGTATATTAGAAATCAAAATAATACGAACAATCCGACAGTGCGACAATTGCGAGACCCCAAGACTTATCCATTATTTTAAATGCGAAGTGAAATCTTGGTGATTTCGTTGCGAATGGAAGCTCGATAGATCTAGCGAAACGCTCCAAGCGATTGAGGTGTTTTCGTCCACCCTCTTCCCTTTTTTTCTTTTCTTCTTTCTTTCTTCTTCTTCTTCTTCTTCTTCTTCTTCTTCTTCTTTAAATTCGAACAAGACTATTTTTCAGATTTGTAAAGAAATTTATGTTCAGCGTTGACGTTTTGTAGAGGATATATTTCAAAATATAAATCAAAATGTAAATTTAATCAACGCAGATGAATTAAGAAGTCGGTAGATTGCTTCTTCATTCATAATCTAATTTATCTTTGTATACTTGTCAATGTCATTATTGTAAAATAAGTAAGTGTAATAAATTAATCAAATTAAAAGGAATACTTTATTTTAATTCTTTTAGAATTACGAGGTTGTGATTTTTAATATTTGCATCTCGTTCTAATCTCGTTCCGGTTTGTTTATAATATCAAAACGATCGTGTAACAATTGTCGAGAATTGCCTGATATTAATCGACGTACAACATACTGTCTGATAAAGAAAAGTAAATGAGCACGTTAAGAGTTATCATTTTCCATGTCAAGCAAATTTCATAATTTTATTAATATGATAATAAACGAATACTCTCTGTATAACAAAAACAAACACAAACAAAAAAAGTCTCGAGTGTACAGTTACGATGATAAAGTGATCTTGTTCCTCGCTCTTTAATAATGACTCGATGAGCTTGAATGATAAATGAGTTTAAGGCATTGAACGAAAATTTTATTGAAAAAGTCATTCTGTGATAGGCGTAGTCTTTCATAAAAATGAAGGAACATCCGCGGAATATCCGCACGTTGCAGCAGTCATTATTTTTCAAAGAAAAACAGAGCATTAAGCGGTTCAGCGGGCTCTCGCCGTTGCCTTAGGATCGTCCAATATGACATTAAAATGTATTTTATCGATATAATTAGTCAAAATTAAATCTCTAAATTACTATAATAGCATATTTAAAAAAAATGTTTATATTTTATAAATAGAAACAAAATCGCTGTTAATTTGTAATTTTGTAGTCAAATCCCTTGATAATGTAGATTAGATTAAATTTTCTTTACAAAAATTTCTTGTAACGATATGTAATAGTGTGTAGTTAGATGTTAAAGTCTCTGTCAACGAGATGGCGTTGAACGAGAAAACTTTTGACGTTTTGATTTTCAATATTATATTTTACATTCATGACATTGTTTTCAGCTCATTCCGTAGTGTATTTTTCATTTGCCTTAATTTTACCTCTAAATGTGCAATATTTATAGCGCGTGAATGAATACTATGGTATAAAAAATAAGAAAATGAAGTAAATTAACAAATAAATGGAATAATATGATGTACGGTTTAAAAAAAAAAAAAAAAAAAAAAAAAAAAAAAAACATGCCAGAGTTGCTTTGTTGGGATTGTGAGAACTAGATGTTCTCTATTATAAATTGACTCCTATCATTTGTACGTGATTGTCGACGACAAAATATAACTGTAACATCAATGTATACTTTCAATTATTATAACACATTTTCTATAAATGTTACATAAAGAGACATTTATAAGCACGTACGCGCGCGTATTCTACACATTCCTAGATATACATACATGCATACATGCATACATACTTACAATCATATATATATATATATATATATATATATATATATGTATGTGTGTGTGTGTGTGTGTGTGTGTGTGCGCGCGTGCGCGTGTGCGTGTGTGTGTTGATATACATGTTTATATACATGTTCTAATGGACCAGTCGTTTATACATTATAGATGCAAATGAATGCAAATAAATAAATTAGTTAAATGCGAGTGAATATTTATAATAATCGTTTTCATCGATGAATCGAGTAGAGCAGATCGTAGGAGGCATTTCGTTTGTGCAAGTTCCATAAAATTAAAAAACCTTCATTGTGCGTCACCTAGCAGATGGCTCAGTGCTCTAAAATTACATGATAAATGATCTCTGTTCCGAAAAATTGAAATTTGTTGAAGAAAAAGAAATTAAAATATTACGATGTAAGGACTACTATAAACTCATTATTATTAAGCGTTGAAAATAGCGTTTTTTACTTTTCGCACATACTCAATGGTTAATTTTAGCAACGAGCGATTACACAAACATCCACACCAACAGCCTGACATATGTACGTATATAATATACACACATCGTCTTGCAATATGAAGTATAAATACATCAGAATAATGGGTTCCCTTGTAATTGATTTATTAAAGCGAAGATAAGTACATTTCCCTAGAAGACATTACAAATAAAAGGATAAATGAAAGGTATGGTGTGCAAGATGTTATAGAAAAATAAAATAAAAAATAGATAGCACACATTACGTATAGTATCGATAAATGGGATAAATAAATAAATTATACTACTAACGCACAGAAATGTACACATGTTTTTGGGCAATGAATAAGCAAAGCATATTAGTACACCGAAAAAAATACGTGTAAGCTATAATGGACGCAAATTCAATCGTATTTCTTGTTGAAAATTTCGTGTAGATTTTTTATGGATTGGATGGTAATGTTGAAAATAAATCAGATTTTCAAATAATTGACAAGATATTACTTGGTTGGTACTTTATTTATTTGTAGATAGATATCCGCCTTCCGTTAACGTAATATGCCATTTAAGTATATATTTTACTTCTTATTATTGACATTGAGTTACATATTATATGCTATAGCCAATTACGTAAAAAAAAGCTAGATCGCGCGAGCTTACTTGAGCTTTCGAGCAAAGTAATTCATTTGTATTCTGGCTGAAAATTCTTGTTTATAATTTGATTTATTTTTCGTATATATTGAGTTGAGAAGCTTCATAATTTTTGTTTTGTTTCGTCTCTTGTTTTAAACGTAGTAGAGAGTGCATTTTTATAATTTCTTCATTAATGTTTGCCGATTATGTAGAAGATAATCGAGGAGACAACTTTTCTTATTAAATCTAACAGCTAACTCTGTAAAAGTTGAATTTTACAGTGTATAAATATTGCTAGATTATTGAACCGAACGTATCTGAATTTCCAAAAGACTATGGCCAAGTAGAGCAAGGCGGGAGGGAGAGAGAGAGAGAGAGAGAGAGAGAGAGAGAGAGAGAGAGAGAGAGATTGAAATTGCGACTGAAGGTAGTCTCATTAATAAATTAGAATCGAGTAATAATTGGCGAGAAGTCGGAGCTTCGTAGTCGAGGAGCCGACTTTGTCGATCCCAATATTGAGTCCTTAGCTTATCGAGACTACGTACTCTCGAGACAAAATTTTGCCACCCACAATATCCCAAAGCATCACCTTGGCCCTCTGTAATCCAACTAACGACTGGCCGACATTATCCTCTGTTCTTTTTCTCTCTGTCCTTTCTAAAAAAAAATAATAATAAAATAAAAAATATAAAAAAAAATAAACCGCTTCGCCGCCGCCGGCTGTCGTTTAATCGCACGCGTCCTCGGGTAAACCATACGATAATCCCAGCCAAGTGCCGCGACGCCGTGCCCAAGAAGGAACGACTACGGAACCCTGGTGGACAGCCCGACGACGACGACGACGGCTACGCGCGTCTTCGTCTTCCCCGCTGCACAGCAAAGCCGACAGCAGTCTCAATCCCATTCGCAGTCCCAGGAGCGGCCCCGACATCAACACCAACATCAACAGCAGCAACAACAACACCACCAACACCAACGCCACCACCATCAACAACAACAACAACAACAACAACATCAGCAGCATAATTACCACGAGCAACAACATCAGCAGCATCAATACCACGAGCAACAACATCAGCAGCATCATCAAAAGCATCAATACCACGAGCAGCAACAGCAGCAACAGCAACAGGAGCAACATGTAGTGACCGTACCGCAAACGCTGCTCTCACCGAAGAAGAAGCGTGGCATCAGCTTCGCCAGCCTCCCCTCCCCCTACCGCAGCAAGCCCACGGCCAGCGGGGTCCCGACGGGCTACCGGGTGAGTCCGGCCCAGCAGAGGCTGCCTCCGACAGCCCTCACCGGGCCCGAGCCCCCCCCGGTCGTCACGGGCTGCAGCCCCGTTGGCCAGCGGCAGATCGCACGCTCTGTCCGCGCCACGACCCTTCTTCCCAAGGTTGAGGTGGGTCTACGTGCATGCCTGTCCGCCACCGGCCGATCCACGCCCGCGTTCTCCCCATCTGTCGGGGACGCCCGAAGTGCGCACGTCCGGAAGAGCTCCCGCAGCTTGTTTGAGCCGACTAGGCCCAAGCGCGTTCGCCGAGCCCCCGGACGTCGGGCGCCCCATAGCATTACGAGCGCCTCGATAAAGCAACCCTACAACACTTTCGGCAGACAGACAAAATTCAAAATTAACGACTTGCGAGGAGTTGTCGAGCGATGCTATACGAGAGTATTCGCTTCTACGGGGGACGTGGATTGCCCGATGATGTGCTAATCCCTTCGTTCATTTTTTTTAATTGAACTGCACATCAACCATATGGAAACTAACACCTACTAATTTCACAATTACCACCTCACTTACTTATTTCGACTAATCCTAGCACATTTATTCTAATTTCCAATCTTTTAATTTATTTAACTGCACACGTACGCACACTAGTTGTTATTGTCATCATCATCATCATCATCATCATCATCATCATCATCATTGCCATTATCGTCGTCGTCGTTATCGTTATCATCGTTTTTGTTAGTATCGTTATTATGCGCATTATTGTTGCTATTTTTTTTCTTTTTTTGACAATATCACATCAATTACTTTATACTCATTATAATTTTTTACTCTTATTGTTATTGTTATTGTTATTTTTATTATTATTATCTTTATTATTATTATTATTATTATTATTATTATTATTATTAATTATTATTATTGTCGTTGTTGCTATTATTATTGTTATTATTATTGTTGTTGTTGTTGCTATTATTATTATCATTTATTATTATTATTATTATTATTATTATTATTACTATTGTCGTTGTTTTTGTTGTTGTTATCATTATTATTTTAAGCTTAATTATCTTATTCATAAACACTGATTAATATGTAACGTTGCTAAACAGCCTCCTCCTCTATCGACTTCGTCGCCAACTCCGATTCCGCCAAAATTATCCGTCAGCGATAGAAAAAGGTTGTTCGAGAATGCTATGGAGGAACATTTAAAACCTTCTCCCAAACCTGGTAAATTTCAAACATTACAATAGTCGGATTACGTGTATAGTGCCACTAAAATTAATTTTATCTTATCATTGGCATGTTTGTAGATAAGGTCTTCAGCTTCTTAAGTCAAGACGAAGTAGAAAAATTGAAGCAGGAAGAAGAAAAGAAGATAGCGACATTGACGAGAGACGAGTTAAAATCGTGGGCACAGATCGATGAAAACGAGGGATTAGACGACGATGATACAATTGAAGATCATGATAATAGAAGGCCAAAGTACTATTGACATTATTGTTTACATTCATAAATATACTAGTCTCTATTGTTTGTCCTCTCTTTATTATTAACTTTATCTTATTGTCCATTTGGATTTTGCTTTTATAGCGTAATCTTTCTTCACGATTACAATATCGTCGAACTGCACGTCGCGCGGTTTATTAAAAATTCTCTCTCTCTCTCTCTCTCCCTTTCTCTCTCTCTCTCCCTTTCTCTCTCTCTCTCTCTCTCTCTCTCTCTCTCTCTCTCTCTCTCTCTGTGTCTCCATACAAAATCCAACAATTCGATAATCAAACGAATCGCCTACTTTTAAGCGCTACAAAGTGCGTATAATGGTTCTCTAGAATAAGTAAACTCATATAAAATTTGTGTCGTTATGCAGTAGTCGATTGAGCTCGCGAACTGCGATACCGATTCTTCAGAATGTGCCCAACATTGTGAGGACGGCGAAAGCGGAACGTCGGCTAAAAGAACGGATGATTCAAGAGGTAAGTCCGCTCGGTCGTTCGAGCCCGTTAAATCAAATGTCGCGACAAGCCGGCAACTAATGTCTAACCATTTGCCATTGCCACGTTCACTAGGGCTTACTTTCCGACGAGGAGGACGAGAGTCACCTGACACCGGCCGAGCAGAGGGCTCTCAGGGCGGAGAAACGAGCGGCTTGGAGACAGGCGCGACTCAAGTCTCTGGAGCAGGTGCGTCACGATTTTACAAGGGCAGCCTCGTCTGCTTCGTTTGAAAGTGTTCGTATTAGCAAAT